CTTCCTCCCTCTTCCCCCTCTCACGCTCTCTCCCTCTCTCTCTCGTGCGCGCGTTCTCTGTCTCTCTCTCTCTCTCTCTCTCTCGCTGACGTTTGTTTGCAGGCGATTAGCGTTTAGCGCGCAATTTCTTCGACACTATCGTATGCTGCTGCTGCTGCCACACAATATCGGCTCTTACATGTGCCGCGCCTACCCCATTGTTGCTATCTGCAATACAATATTGGATGCGTTGCGTTTGCTCCGCGCACTCCCCTCGCTGCTATCAGCAGCACGCTATCGGCTCTTACGTCTGCCACGCACACCCCTATTGCTAGTATCAGCAAGTAAAGTAAGTAAGTAAGTAAGTAAGTTCAGCAACGCAGCATCGGCTCTTGCGTCTACCGTGCGCACTCCCCTCGCTGCAAATCTTTGCCTTATTTGACTGTGTGTTTGGCATCTATTACAGCATGCGGCGATTACAGCACGTTGGTTGTTTGCGAGCGTTTCTCCTGTTTCACGGCTAACGTTACGGGGCGCGACGGTGCAGTTGTTGTTTCATGTTGCCGCAGTTATAGTCGGGTAGCTAAACAAAACGATGGGGATATTCAGGATAAAAGCACTAAACTTTTTCCATGCGCTATCCATTACCTTAGTTTTCAATTTTTGATAGGAGCCACTTCACCAAGATAGAGGAAAACGACCATCTTGGATTCCAAGATGGCCGCAATGCAAAAACTTATAATTGCCAATATCTCGGCTTCTAGACCACTTAGGATGGCAATCTTGGTGTCTAAGCACACATTTTCTGGGGCAAGGAATGAAATTATACCATTTAGAATATGAATAAATCATTTATTTATTTGAATTTAGTGTTACAGAGGACTCTAGTTAGTGGCTATTTACTGACTTTATTTTATTGAAACATAATTTTATTACAGCAGAAGCAGCAGAAGAGCTCGCTCTCCCTCGCTCTCTCTCTTTCCTTCTCTTTCTTTCTTTCTCTCTCTCGCTCTCTCTCACTCTCTTTAGTTCTAGCTCTCTCTTACTCTCTTTAGTTCTAGCTCTCTCTCTCTCGCTCTCTCTCTCTCTCTCTCTCTCTCTCTCTCTCTCTCTCTCTCCCACACGCACACAGACACTCTCTCTCTCACTCTCTTTAATTCTAGCTCTCTTTCTCTCTCACACACGCATACACACACTCTCTCTCTCTCACTCTCTTTAATTCTAGCTCTCTCTCTCTCGCTCTCTCTCTCTCTCTCTCTCTCTCTCTCTCTCTCTCTCTCTCTCTCTCTCTCTCTCTCCCACACGCACACAGACACTCTCT